CTTGCCTCTTGGGTTCCCGGAATCCGCTCATTTTCCTTATTTTCCTTTTTTTCCCCCTCCCCTTCTCTTCCTCCTCCCCTTTCCCCCATGCACCCTTAATAATTTATAAATTATTATTGTATCTTATATTCTCCATTTAGTTTTGAAAGTACACATAAATGGCTTTCTGTGTACTATTAGTCCAAATATTAGTATTCTCTTTTTTCTTTGTTTAAATCTGCATAATAAATAATTTTACAGTGTATCACCGTCTTATTAAATGATACTTCCCTAGTTGGCACAATGTGCCCAGATTGTTTCCTTGTATCTATTTCAATTCATCGTTTCTGGTTCCTCATCAACCTTTCCTTTATGTTGTTTATTTCTAAAAATGTTTAACAAGCTTGTAAATAAAAAAAATGATTTGTTACTGAGTTGAGAGAGGTTGCAAGTTGTAGAGAGAAAATAACCCTGGGGTCATAAATACTACCACACCACTTGGGGTTTTCCAACAATAATGCCTATTACCAGTTAGTTAAATCACAAAATGCATTGCTATCTTTTTGAAAATTTAAATGATTATGTATTAAATCCCATTTGCCTGTCAGGTTGTCCTACTGTTGTGGCTTCTGTATTGCTGTGATGCTTGAAGCCATGTCTCCAGTTTTTCAAATGCCTCCAGGGTCAACCAAAATGAACAGGTTTCAGCAGAGCTTCCAGCCTAAGCACAACCGACTCTGAGGAAGGAATAAGCTGTTCACTTTCAGAGGAATTAGCCACTGGCAGCCCTATTGATATCATCGAGACATCAGTTACTGAACGAACACCTGGTGAATAGAAGCGAAAGATTGTCAGAGGTAGTACCTAAAGAAGAATCCTTCAGGTCAGAAAGTACTCAAAATATGACTAAGAAAGAGCGGCCATCTCAAAGTAGAGTTTATAATAATGACATGGATAGAATAAAGCCTGCTAGAATAAAGCATTCAGGACCTTCATTTGTTGATGTGGCATGGCTCAAAATAGGAAGATACAACTGCAAACATCAAAGAGTTTTTAGACCCTTTAATGTGTTAGGGATGAATCTAGGAACATTGAAAGTTATAAAAATGAAATGCTGTTTGTGATAGGATAATGTCTACCCATATACAAGGATATCCAGCAAATACAATTATTAAAACGTATACACCAAAAAAAACAAAAACGTATACACCATAATTTATAACTTATCAAGGGTTCATGAGGCAGGGAGGTTGGGGGAAGAAGGGAAAAAATGAAGAGCTGATAACGGCTCAAGTAGAAAGAAAATGCTTTCAAAATGATGGTGCCATGATAGTCCAAATATACTTGACACAATGTATATATGTATGTATGTATATATTGTGATAAGAGCTGTATGAGCCCCCAATAAAATGATTTTTTTAAAGCTTTCATACCAAGACCTAAAGCTAGTGATGCAGAAATTAAAGAATTCTTTCTACATCTTCAGTTGGAAATTGATCAAGCATTCAGTCAGATGCATTGATGATAATTGACAGAATGTAAAAGTTGGAAACAAAAATGAAGGAACAGTAATTGAAAAATGTGGTCCTGGTAATAGAAATAAAGCTGATAGAATTTTATAAGACCAATGATTTCATCACAAATAACCCTTTTTCCAACAACAAATACCCTTTTTCCAAAAACAAAAGGAAGCTATATACGTGGACTTCTCTAGTTAGAATACAGAGAATTCAAATTGACTACTACATCTGTAGGAAGAGATAATGAAAAAGCTCAATATCAGCAGCTAAAACGAGGCTATCAGTAGCTAAAACCAGATTGGAATAGACCATCAATTGTTCACATGTAAGTTTAGGTTGAAGCTGAAGAAAATTAAGCAAGTCATTGAGAGATAAAATACTACCTTGAGTATATTCCACCTGAATTTCGAGAACTTCTCAGGATTTCGAGAATATCTCGAACAGATTTGACTCATTGAACACTTATGACAGAAGACCTGATGAGCCGTGGGATGACATGAAGAACATCATACAGGAAAAAGCAAAAGGTCATTAAAACAAGGAAAGAAATAAAAGATTAAAGTGGATATCAGAAGGAATCTGAAACTTGCTCTTGATTGTAGAGTAGCCGAGTCAAATGGAAGAAATGATGTCAAGTAGCTGAACAGAAATTTCAAATGACAGTTTGAGAAGACAAAGTTAACTATTATAATGAAATGTGTAAAGACCTAATGTTAGGAAACCAAAAAGTAAGACTAAGCTCAGCATACTTTATACTGAAAACTCAAGAAAAAATCCATGCCACAAGTTGCAATATTAGAAGATTCTATGGACAAAACACTGGAAGTATCCAAAGGAGATGAAAAGAATACAGTCACTGAATCAAAAAGAACTAGTTATTATGCAACCATTTCAAGAGGAAGCCGCTGAGGAAGAGCCAATGGTACTGAAGCAAGAGTCCAAAAACTGAAAACATTAGTGAAAAACAAGGCTCTAGGAATTGATGGAATATCAATCAGATAAGAGCTGGAAACTCAGGGAATGCAGGACAGATAAACTCCTCGCGACCAATATTGAGAGTAGCCATACCAGGAGCGTAAAGGGAAGTTTGAGGTGGGAGGGGGAACTGATCACAATGACCTATTTATAAACCCCTCCCAGGGGGATGGACAACGGACAAGGGGGTAAAGGGAAGACATCGGACAGTGCAAGACATGAAAAATAATTTATTAATTATTGGGGGTTTGTGAGGGGGGGGGTTGTGAGAGGGAGGGGAAAATGAGGCGCTATTAGGCTAAGGGCTCAAGTAGAAAGAAAATAACTTGAAAACGATAATGGCAAAATATGTACAAATGTGCTTACATAATGGATGGATTGTGATAAGAGTTGTAGAGCCCCCAATAAAATAATTTTTAAAAATGTTTCAACAACTGATGAAGCTCTAAAAGCACTTTCTCGTGTATGTCAGAAACTTGGAAGACATCTACTTGGCCAGCTGGAAGATAACTGTATTTGTACCCATTCCAAAGAAAGGTGATCCAACATAATATGCAAATTATAGAATAATATTGATATTCACATGCAAGTAAAATATTGTTTTAGATCATCCAGTAATGATTGCAGCAGTATAATGATGGAGCTGCCAGAAGTTCAAGCCAGATTCAGAATGCTGATGTCAGATGGACCTTTGCTAAAAACAGAGAATACTAGAAATACACAGCTTTGGAAATTCTTGGGTTCTACTCTGTCCTGTAGGGATCACTATGAGTTCAAATGGACTGGATAGCAGTGAGTTTATTTATTTACTTTGGCATAATGGGTTATTTGTTGGGCTGCTAACCACAGGTCAGCTGTTAGAAACCATTAGCTCCTCTGTAAGACATGGATGATGCTTTCTACTCTCAAAAGATTTATATTCTCAGAAACCCAGAGAGACAGTGTGTTTCTTTTTCCTATATGGTTGCTATGAGTTGGAATGTTGATAGCAGTGAGTTTTTCAGGTTTTTATGATAGACATTTTAGTATTTAAAAATTTATAGTGTTTTTTAGGTTAGTCTTGTTAACATACATTACAGATCTGCTACTTTGAAGTTGGATTATGAGAAGTAATTGAAAAGTTTAAATCTAATTATATTTATTTGCATTTTAGGCCCTTGATGAGCCTCCCTATTTGACAGTGGGAACTGATGTGAGTGCTAAATACAGAGGAGCTTTCTGTGAAGCCAAAATCAAGACAGCAAAAAGACTTGTCAAAGTCAAGGTATAGTATTTATAGATTTTATAAATTATATGTACCATGTTTAAACTGTTCCTTGATGAGTATATCTAAGAATTATTTTTCTGTAAGATTAATTTTGAGGAGTAAGAAAAAGGGAAGAAACCAAGAAACAACATCTCAAAGCATTACTTTTTATTTTAAAATATTCCAGTTGGTAAAAATAGATGATCACAGTTGGTATTTTACATGTCATTTTATTGTAGATGAAATTGTTTATAAAATGCTTTCCTAAGATTCGAACTAGAAAGGACCTTACAAACAATCTAGTTTAATTCTTTAACTTTGCTATGGCGAAAAATAGGCTCACAAGGATTAGTAACTTCTCCACAGTATCATAGTAAATGAGGACCCTGGTGGAATAGTGGTTGCGTCCTGGCCTGCTAAACACAAGGACAGCAGTTTGAAACCACCAACTGCTCCTTGGGAGAAAGATGGGGCTTCTCTAAAGAGTTACAGTCTTGGAAACTCACAGTGGCAGTTCTACCCTGCCCTGTAGAGTTATTACGAGTTGGAATCCTTGATGACAGGAGAGTGAATGAATGATCACAGCAAATTGTGGCAGAATTGGAACTACCATAGTTTCTGAATTTTGAGACTCTTCCTCCCTCACCCCTGAACCATGACTGGGGTAGTCACCTTATCTGGTGTCAATTTAAGGATTAAGAGTGTAGGGGTGAGACTTCTGTGTGGGCATGGCCTTCTCCTGAGATTTTTGGGAAATCTCGTTGGAGGTGGAAGACACCTCTCTCTCTCTGCTACTCCCTGGGAGACATTGCAGAAGACACGCCACATGGACGCAACCAGACCTCTGAAGCCAGCGAAGCCACAGAGTGCTGAGATATTTCCTGCCAGTGCTGAGATATTCCAACGCCACTGGACCCAAAGACTTTCTACCCACTGGCTTGTAATTGTCCTGCATTTGGCTACATTGCATGTGTTTCATGAGTCTGAAGAGGACTTTATAGATTGATATAGAACATGTGGGTTAATGTTGGACTTGTGGGCTTGGGCAGCACTGGGTTGGGATGTTTTCTTGATGTGCACTTACTCTTTACATAAAACTCTCTTTTATACATGAGTTTCTGTGGATTTGTTTCTCTAAAGTACCCAGACTAATACAGTCATAAAGATGGAAAGTAGATATTTGTTTGACTTCTGCTTCATTGTAGTGTTTCTTCTCTTGCTAGCCAAAAGTCAGATATATCCATGCAGTTTACTGAGCTGTTTTTAAGAAAGCTTTGATTATTTTGTTTGGTTGTAGTTTTTGGTTATTCCTATGTGAAATGGTAAAAATGAATGTGGTTAATGTATATTTTGAGCTCAGGGGTAGAAATTACCATTTGAATTTCTCAGAAACCAGGCTGCTTAAGGAAAATGGTTTACAGAAGTTCAAAATGGCTGACAGAAAGCCTGGCTCTGTTTTTATGCCTTCAGAGAGACCTAATCCCATATTGTTGTGTAAATAGAATAGGTTAGATAAGGATTTAGGTAAGCTCAATAAGGATTGAACTTGACTGTTTTAAGAATTGAGTTTAATATCTGATTCTATGGTTAAACTGATTTCTTTTGCTTATTATTGTAGATATAAGGATGTATAGAAGTGATTTTGAGAGCTTGTAAACCTACTTACCTCAAGCCATTAATTTGATCTTTAGATGGGTTTAGGCCACGCCTGGAAGGAAGTCTCTGAGAAGTTGAGCCCTACCCAGTACTTTGGAGTACTCAGGACATTTGTATTCCAAGAGACTTGCCTAGGGGTAAATTTGACAGATTGAAGATTAAAAAAAAAAATCATTTTATTAGGGGCTCATACAACTCTTATCACAATCCATACACACATCCATTGTGTAAAGCGCATTTGTACATTCATTGCCCTCGTCATTCTCAAAACATTTCCTCTCCACTTAAGCCCCCACCCCACCCCCACCCCTGCATTAGGTCCTCATTTTTCCCCTCCCTCCCCTCTCCCCCCTCCCTCATGAGCCCTTGATAGTTTATAAATTGTTAATTTGTCATATCTTGCCCCATCCGACGTCTCCCTTTACCCACTTTTCTGTTGTCTGTCCCCCAGGGAGGAGGTCACATATAGTTCCTTGTAATCGGTTCCCTCTTTCCTACCCACTCTCCCTCTACCCTCCCTATTTCGCCACTCATACCACTGGTCCTGTAAAAAAGGAACTTTTTGGATTTGAAGTTTGAAGTCTGGTGGTCTTTGTCAGAAGCTGGAAAAAATCTGGAACTGCGGGGAGGGAGGGGAAAAATGAGGACCTAATGTCGGGGGGTTAAGTGGAGAGAAAATGTTTTGAGAAACGATGTACAAATGCGCTTTACACAATTGATGTGTGTATGGATTGGGATAACAGTTGTATGAGCCCCTAATAAAATGTTAAAAAAAATAAATTAATTAAAAAAAGAAAAAGAAAACTCCTCTCTGGGACTGAACGTTAAAGGGAGCCTGTAGGCAGGCTGAGATGCTTGCTAGATGACCCTGGATCTACTTGTTGAGTGGAAGCGCGAGAAATGCAGCAATAAAGAGACGGGTTGAGTCTGGTCACTGAAACCCATGGATTTGGTGCACAGGAACTAGAGGAGAAGATGAGAGCAGGTTGACTGGTCTGAGGTTCATGACCTAGCACAAGGAGCTAGGGTTGTTGAGAATTTGTGATGGGGCCATAGTCTAAAGGGAAGGTGACCAATGGACACCCTGGTGAGGCTAAGAGAGGCACCCCATAGTGAGTTGACCAGAACCTGAGGAGATGCAGAGATTTTTGAGCCTGTGAACGGGTACATATTGCTGTTGAGTTTATGGATTGCTTCTCCTGATTTGACTTTGCTTATGGATGCGGATTTTACAAGGTTCCAACTGGAATGAAGATTCTTCACGTCAAAGAGCATGATTGTTTCCTCAGAGCACTGGGTTGGTGTAAGTGGGCAGTATAGAAATTGGATACCGAAAATGGGGGAATAAAGGTATGAAGTGGTTGGTTTACAAACTTTCATAGGTGGGGGAATATAATTTTATAGGTTTATAGCATTAAGGTGTAGGTGTTACTTAATTGCAATTGTTAGGCATAGGTAATTTTTTGTTTTGTTCACTTATAGAATGTTATGTTTAAATGAATGTGGCACATACTGAATTGTATGCTTTTTAGTTTTATACTATTAAGTACAGATGTGATTTTGTTATTGTTTGAAAATTATATATGGCTAAAGAATTATGTGAAAGATAAATTTACAAGGGGTGGTCTTTGGTAGTTACCTAATCTGGTGTCAATTTAAGGATTGAATGTAGAGGTGGAGTCTAGACTGTTAATCTGGAGATAGCCAATGAGACTTCTGTGTGGGCATGGCCTTCTGAGAATTCTAGGGACTCCCTCCTTGGAGGCAGAAAACACCTCTCTCTGCCACACCCTTGGAGACATTGCAAAAGACAAGCCACAAGGATGCAGCTAGACTTCTGAAGCCAGAGAAGCCAGAGAGAGACCCCTGCTGGCCCTGAGATGCTTACACCATTGGACCCAAAGACTTTCTACCCACTGACTTGTGATTGTCCTGCATTTGGCTTCCTTGCATGTGTTTCATGAGACTGAAGAGGACCTTACAGATTAGTATTGGACATATGGGCTAATATCAGACTTATGACAGACTGGACTGGGTTGGGATATTTTCTCAGTGTTCAATTCCTCTTGTATATAAATCTCTTTCTTATACACATATGTGTGTTTATGAATTTGTTTCTTTAGAAATTCACAGTGACAGTCCTACCCTGCCCTATAGGGCTATTATGAGTTGGAATCCTTGATAACAGGGAGAGTGAATGAATGATCACAGCAAATTGTGGCAGAATTGGAACTACCATAGTTTCTAAATTTCGAGACTCATCCTTACCCCTGAACCATGACTAATTGATAACAATTTAGGCACAATGAAATATGGTCAAGTTAATGGTTGATTTCTCTGACTGTCTTAGAAAAAATTTTTTTTACAATACTTTTTTTAGTCTCACATATTTCAGAGAAAAAGATTTACAGTTTATAAATTTCCATTGATGAAGAAGTTGAACTAAGTGAAATATTTGAAGTCAGTTACTTAATCATCTTTCAATAATTTATTGTGTAGCAAACCTTGTATAGGATACCATTATTTGCGAAGGAGGGAATGGGCCGATGATTTCTGTTCTCAGTGGATTTATAATGTGGATTAGGCAATACCCTATAAAACATAGATTTGAATATTACCACTTAAAAACCACCTGCCACCAGGTGGATTCTGACTTACAATCTCAGGACAGTAGAACTGCTCCCTAGGGTTTCTGAGACTGTTAAGTTTTTATAGGCTCAGAAAGCTTTATCTTTCTCCTATGGAGACTGGCAGGGTCAAACTGCTGACATTGCACTTAGCAGCCCAACTCCAACTCAAATATACTAAGCTACCAGGGCTCCTTAAAGCTATTTATTGCTCGATTGTTGGAAAATATCATAGTCTCTCTTGGGTGATTCTCATTTGCCCTCTTGGGTTATAAGCATTGTGAAAAGACCTTTAAATTAAGTCATAAGTCCGTAAAATGTTTGCTTGGCCCTGCTACACACCCCTTAGTTTCTTTGTAATTTGATAATGCATGCACTCTTACAATTCTATTATAGCAGTGTTTCTTTTTCTGGTTTTACACACTCTTGTTCCCTGTGTGTGTGTGTGTGTATGTGTGTGTGTGTGTGTGAGAGAGAGAGAGAGAGAGATTCTATCGAAGAAAAGAATGCTTTTTATTAGTTTTCCCACTTTTGGCAAGCTAATTCTAGCACTTGTAACATATTTGTGTGAATGAGATAGATATCTTTTGTTATGCTGTAGAACACCATTGACTGAACTTGACACACAGTTAGCACTTTGGTGCCAGTTATAAAAAGTTACGCTCCTAACAGGAGCAGCATCATTATGGGTCCTATGTTTTTACCCATAAACTACAGTCTGGTTTTAGCCCCACTTGAACCCTCAGCTGAGTGTTTCTATGTAATGAACTACTAGAAATATTACATCTAGTTAGCTGTCTTGCTATTTATTGCCATTAATTAAAGAAACCAACTATTAGTGCCTGTGTCCTAGGCTAGGTTCTCTGTATAGAAGCAAAGCCAATGAAGCTGATATACAAAAAAAATTTATCTGAAGGAAATGACTGATTATGGAGGCTGGCCAGTCCCAAGTCTCTGGGTCTGAAATCAGACTGGGGGTACTGCAGGAGCTGATGAGCCCAAGATTAGCAGATCAGCTGGCTCACTGGCTCTGGAGACTGAGGAATTCAAGATCAGCTAGGAGATATGACAATCCATTGGCTCAGGTCCCCAAAACAGGAGGTCAGATGATGATGTGCTGATTTTAGGATACAGAGTACCCCCAAAGCTAGAAAATTTTGCCAAAATGACCATATTCAAGGGACTTCAAAAAATCATGGAACAATTCCATTCTCTTTTAATTACAGCATATGAGATTTCATCATGGGGACAGCACTCAATTATTACATAATTGTTAAACCTTTAAGAATTGTGTTCCAGCTAAATGACATAACCATCACCTCTAATGACAGTATTTAATGCCTTGTCTCTTAAATAATGGATTTTTACAAGTTAACCTTAATACCTTTTGACAGCTCTAAAAATCTGTTTATAATTTAAAATAACTGACTTTTTTGACAGATTAGGTGGTATATGTTTTACAACTTTAATTTGTTCATGATTTAGAGTTACTATTTTAAAAAACAAATTTATTGATACAGTGAAAATTCGAATCTGTGTACGGTGGAAAACTCTTAAGAGAAGGAAAACAAATACTTTCCATTAATACGGTTCGAAAGAAAAATAGAATGGTTTGCCCATTGGAAACGTTGTTTGGTCTTTTGGCTGCTGCTTCTATGAGCATTGATTGTGGATCCAAACAAGGTTAAATCTTTCTCCATTTATCATGGTGTTACCTAATTTACCAGTTGTGAGAATTTTGGTTTTCTTACATTGAGTTGTAATCCATATTGAAGGCTGCAATCCCTAATCTTCATCAGCAAGTGCTTCAAGTCGTCCTCACTTTTAGCAAGTAAGGTTGTGTCACCTGCATACTGCAGCTTTTTAATAAATGTCTTCCAAAGCTGAATGCCACATTCTTCTTCATATTATCCAGCATTCCTGCTTATTTGTTCAGCATGCAGATTGAATATCTTTGGTGAGAAGAAACATCCTTGATGTACACCTTTCTTGATTTTGAACCATACACCATACCCTTGTTATGTTCCCATAGCTGCCTCTTGATCCATGTACAGGTTTGACATGTAGTGTTTTAGAATTCCCATTCTTCTCAAAGCTATCCATAGTTTGTTATTATCCACACAATATAATGCTTTAGTATAGTAAGTAAAATCATTCTGGTATTCTTGGTGTTGAGCCAAGATCCACCTGACATCAGAAATGGTACCTCTTTTACCATATCCTCTTCTGAATCTGGCCTGCCCACCTGTCAGTGTACTGCTGAAACTGTTGTTGGAAGATCTTCAGCAAAATTTTACTTGTAGGTGATACCAATGACATTGTCCTATAATTTGAGTATTTTGTTAGGTCACCTTTCTTTGGAATGTATACAAATAATCCATCTGTTCCAGTCATTTGGGCAAGTAGCTGTCTTGTAGATATCCTCGCATAGATGAGTAAGTGCTTCCAGTGCTTTATCAGTTGTTGAAACATTTCCATTGGTATTCCTTCCTGGAGCCTTGCTTTTAGCTAATGCTTTTTGTGCTTGCTTTTGACTAAAGCTTTCAGTGCTGCATCTTCCTTCAATACCATTAGTTCTTCCTTATATGCTACCTTCTGGAATGGTTAAATGTAATTAGTTCTTTATGGTACAGTAACTGTATTCTTGCCATCTTCTTTTGATGCTTCCTGTGTCATTCAATATTTTGTTCATAGAATGTTTCAATATTATAATTTGAGCCTTGAATTTTTTCTTGAGTTCTTAAATTTAAGATATGGCTAAATGTGTTTTTCCTTTTTCAGTTCATAGTGACATCTTATGTATAGAGTAGAACTGTTTCATAGGGTTTTGAAGGCTGTAACTTTTCAGAAGCAGAACTGTCTCCTGACAAACGCCTGTGTACATTTTAAACCTCCAAACTGACTGTTAATTATGAGGGCCTTAGTGTTTGCTATGCCCATGTCTTTGGAACCCCCAAGCGTATTGATTACTGGCAAACTCTAACAATTATTTTCAGGAAACTCGAAATAAAAGGTCAGATCAAGGTCTCTGTCCCAGATCATGTCTATCAGAATATGTAGAACTGTGATTCTGATAAGGTTTTCAGTGATTATGAACATTCTGAAGTGGACTGCCAGCCCTTAGTTTACAGGGCCTCTAGGTAGATTCGAATCACCATTAGATTAGTAGCCAGGTACGTAGCTATGTGCACTCCCATCATCAGTAAATGTTTGCTGCTGATACATTTTAATAAAATAAGCATTGACAACAAACGGTATAGTACCTAATGGTCTAATAAGTCTTCCTTTCCTCACTTTTTCTTTAGGAAAAAAATTTTTTACAAGCAATCATATGGCTTATAATGTACTGAATAATATAAGCTAATGGGAAACTTGGGATAATTTAGGTGTAATGACATTAGTTACTTGTGTATTTTGAAAATATAATTTGGGTAGTTATTTGAATAATTTTTAATTTAGAGATTAAAATCTTGTGTAAACTAAGCAATTGTTAGTTTAACTTATTTGTATTAAAATGTATAATATAGCTTATTAATTATTGCTTGCTTTTGCAATGGCTAATTTAATTTATAATCTCTAGGTAACATTCAGGCATGATTCTTCAACAGTGGAAGTTCAGGATGACCACATAAAAGGTCCACTAAAGGTAACCCAATTATTCATATATATTGTATCCTAATAAGCAGCTAGGAAACATACAACATATGGTCACTTATGAAGCATTCATTTATAAATTACATTCTCTCTGAGTAATTTCCTTAGAAGAGTAATAGGAAAAAATAGGTGTTTTTTATATTTAATTTTATATTAAACTTGATGTGATACTGAAATAAATAAAACTTGATGTGATAATGAAGCTTAACAGTATATTCAAGAATGAAATGAATATCAAGTCAGTATTGACTATTTTTTACATATCTGTTTCAGCCTTACTATATTTCCATTAATAAAATGAGTTTGTTGTTAGCTGCCATTGGGTCAGCTCTGACTCATAAGGACTCTGAACAACAGAACGAAACACTATCTGGTCTTGTGCTTTTCTCAAAATTGTTCTTCTATTTGAGCTCATTATTAGAGCCACTATTTCAAATTTCATATGTGGTTAAGTGACCTAATTTTTACAATGATCTAAAACATGAGAAAATTAAACAACAAACCAGAACTCTAGATTGATGTTGTGTTATTGGCAAATAAAATATTTTCAGTGGAATCAAGCAGTTTTATAGTGAACATGTTCGTATAATGTTCCTTTTTCTTGATTGGCCAATAAAATACTTAATGAGTATGTGGGCGTACCTGCTTATGTATACTTTGCCCACCCAATAAGTCAACAGTCTTGATGGTACCAGTTGCTCCAGAAACATGAGGCTATATCTGCTCCTGTAAAGATTTACAGCCCCCAAAACCCTATATATGATTTGGAATTGATTCTATGCCAGTGGGGTTTTGGGTTGGCTATTGAGTAGATTCTGAATCCTAATGACCCTATTTAGGGTTTCCAATATTGTATATCTTATCTGGAGCAGACAACTTCATCTTAATCCTGACAGTGAACTTTAGCTTGCCTAGGAGAATTAAATTAAGAGACATAATAGTGCCTACTGTGTACTAGCATTGTGCTAAATGTTTTGCACTTGTCGTTTAATCCTCAAAACAACCCTACAGAAGAAATTGAAGATGATATAATTTGACAGAATTTTTTGACAGGTGAACTATAATTAAAGCATTTTGCCATGTTCTACAGAATATATATATATATATATATACTTTCCAAGCCTTAATTTTGGTTTGCTTCATAAGCATATGAGTATTTCTCTCCACTGCTTGACTGCCCTTTTAAATTAGCACAACCCCTCCTGGCATCAAAAAATGATCAATGTTAAAAAAAGATAGAAAAGGCTTTTTAGCTTTTAAGCCATCTTCTTCCATTGTACCACCACCATCCAGGCTTTCTGATAGTGGCAAGGGTGGTTTATTTTGTTTGTTTGGATTTTCTTACTTAATGAAAAAAAATTTTGTATTCGATTTGAACTTAGTTTTTGTTTTGACTTGGACAAGTATATTAAGTTTTGTTTCAAGATTACTAAAACATTTCTTTTGTGCTTGTGTATGGATCCTTCGTGGTGGGGGAGGTGAAGGTCTGAAGATTTTTAATTGCCTCCTAACATCTCTGTAACTTTATCTATCAACTGGTAGAAAAGTATCCAGATTTGGATTAAATGTTTTCTGGAGGAAATAAATGTCCAAAAATTGATGACTGTTTTATATAAACTAATTTTCACTAATAAAATTTTAGTTGAAAATAGTATCTAGACTACTTAATTATTAAGCACAAAATTATACTATCCATTTGTTGTAGTCATTTAATGGAAGTTTTAAGTTGGGGTTATGCTCCACCCTTTTGGGGATGATGTGGGCTTAATAGTCTGTTATATAAACAAATTTAGTTTTGTTACTCCTATAAACGTCATGGGAGTACCTGAATTTTGCAATCAGTTAAGTAATATTACAAGTTCAATTCCATCCAGAGCCATATTAGAAGAATAGACTTGGCAATTTAATTCTACAAAATTAACAGAAAATCCTATGGGAGTACACTTCTACTCTGATGCACAAAAGATCACCATGAATTGCTATTGACTTGCTGGCATCTATGGTTTTGTAGAGTGTGATTGGGTTGATTATAAAGTTTATAAAACTGTAAGTATCAATATTTTCTTAATCATATGGAAATATTTAAAATAATTATACATTCTACTTTTAAAGAGACTTAAAAGCTTCTTATTTATCTCATCCTATAACCTTCTTTCAAGGAGCGTGGCAGTATGGGTCAAGGGTAGTCATTTCTATAGACTTCTTATCAAAGTGATATCTGAGGGCTCCTAGGGGTTCTTTTAAGGGAGTTCATAAGGTCAAATCTATTTTTACAATTGGGGTAATATTAAGATTTGTCATTTTCATTGATGGTGCAAAATCAGCAATGGGTAAAACTCTTGGCCCTTTAACATAAATCAAGTGAGTAATAATTTTTCTTCACTATCATTTTTCCACTTAAACTCTCCACCTCCTCCCCCAAAGTTATTTTTACTTAATGTCATTGATGAAACAGTAAAGATTATTAATTTTACTGAGTTTACCAAAACCAGACCCATTACCATGGAGTCAATTTTGACGCATAGTGACCCTACTAGTATTTCTTACCTTGGAAATCTTTACAGGATCAGAGAGCCTCATTGTTCTCTCATGGAGTAGCTATTGAGATGGAACCATTGACTTGTGGTTAGCAACCCAGTGTTCCTCAACAGTGCCATATTTTAATATTTTATGTGATGAAATGGTACCTATAAAGCACTTCTGTGTTTGACCTGTGAGTCCAAGTATATGCTTTTCTAATAGAACATCATTTTTACTTGAGATACTGGCCATTCAGAATGGTTTTTTGGCAGACATATTCTTGAAAATGGACCAAATATTTCTGTCACCTAAAGGAAAACTACAGTTTATATTGTTAATGATAAAATTTGACCTTTCAAATAAAATAATTTTGTAACCTTGTATAATGAAAGCTTGATGAGAATACTATGAGCCTAAAATTTTTATATTGTATAATGAGATGTGTCACTATGTAGACTCTACATAATTCAGTGAATCAGTGTTTTGTACGTGACAAATGTTACATAATTATTGATGGATACAAACATAAGATACATTGGTGGATTTTAATATAATAGTATTAAATACTACAATAATAGTATGAACAATTCATTGATGTCATTTTAGTGTCTATATTGGAAGTAGTCATAAGAAACTACCACTTAAAAAAAAAAAGACAGACACTACCTCTTAATGAATGTTGACATAAAACCAAGGAAGAATAACCATATTTTATTAAACAAAAAGGCTACTGAAATACTCATTTTTCAACTACCTATTTCTGTGAGGCCAGATTTTTTTTGCCAGATTCTTTTGATATGAAGTATATAAAGAAAATTTGTGGAAAATTCCATTGTCTTTTAATTGCATTTTTCCATGAACTTCTGAAGCACTTAGTGTTTAATTAAACCAACAAATCACAACAGGTTTGATATAGAAGTAGATTTGAGAATCCCTCTGTCTTTTATTATGTCGGATATTAAAAGTTGTTTGTAAAAATATTTTTTTTAAAACCCTACCGTTCTTCCCACTATTATTTTTACTTTGGGAATTGTTCTACTAAAATATAGTAGTTTGTTCTCATATGTGATGGTGTAAAATGTATTAATAATTTTTTAATACTTTAAATATCAATAGATGTACCTCATTCCCCCCTCACAAGTTTTATTGGCATATAGTTCACATATCATACAATTCAATCATTCAATCATATCAAGAGTTGTACAGTTGTCTTAAAATAAGTAAAACAGATTAAAAACCTCAACCGAAAAGCAAGCAAAAACTATCAAAAACCAGAAGTACATCTGCAACAATCCACTTTCCAATGCACTCTGCATGTTAACAGGGCTATTCACATCCCTGGTCCAAGGGGATACCCTAAGGGCTTAATTCATATTTCTTCTTCTCTTTTTAAAAATTAACTGAAACAGCTTTAAACTGGTTCTAAAGGAAAATCAAATGATAAGTTAGTAAATTTTGACCTAACTACACCTTGCCATAATTGACTTTACAATGTTCTCTGCTAACAAGGCTGTTCACATCCCTCCACTGTGATCAGAGAGGATTCACTGATGGCTAAATCTATGAATTTCGGACTTTCCCTGTCATCCACAGCTTTCTACATATTAACAATTTAATCTCTGATGTCACTTATATTATTTACAATCCTTGGATCACATAGGCTGGTGTGCTGCTTTCATGTGGATGTAGTTGTCTCTTAATTCACTCTTTAGGTTTTTCAATTTTTGGTCCTGTGACTAAAAAGCTTGAAAGTTGTGCTTTGTCCAAATCATCAGACTACACGCTTTCGTGATTTTGTAAAAGTGTGAGCATATTTTAAAAAAATTTTTTATATTTTAAAATATATGATTATTTTAAAAGTCATTTATAATTAATGGTTATGTTCATTGTAACTAAAAGTTTATAATAAAAAGTAAATAGAAATTCTAACCTTTTCTTGCATCTTAATAGTGAGTTGCATTGTCCTTAACCTGGAGTACAGGCAGAGGTACTCTGGGGTCACACAGCCTAATAAATAGGGCTTTGATGCCCAAACCCAAGTTATTATATGAATTTATTTTCTAAAACATGCATTTGACATGTATTTTTATAATGGTGGTTACTGGTGGAAGGATACACATTTGATTTTCTTTGATGTGAACAGGTTCATGTTTATTCTTTCTAATGTTTACAAGCATACATTATTAGTTCACAGTTAAAGTTATGCTTTCAGTATTTTTTAGAATACCTTTTTGTTCCTTTAAAGGGAAAGAACCCAGCTTTCTTAATTCTTTCAGTCAAATTTAGTTTTAAACACCAAAAAGGAAACTTAAAAAAAAACCCACCAAAAACAACACTAAGTTTATTGATGGTTAAGTGTATAAGCTGGAATTAACATGAACAAATGGGAACATTAAATAGTGTGGAATGAAAATTTAGGGTATCTGATTTTGTTTATAAGAAAGTATGGAATGACTGAGCACATTGGTTTTGCCCTACATATTTTAGTGCTAATTGAGTATTAAGAATTTCTGTGTCTTCAATAAAAAATATATGCTGCTTTTTATCTTTTAGTAAGAAATCCTTAGCAGATGTGGATATATATATATAAATTATTTAAAATTTAAAATTAGCCTACCAGTTAGAGATTTATTTTTATTGATGATTTTTGTATTTAACCTTCTGTTCTTTTATTAGTAATCATTAATTTAAAAAAACCCGAATCTTAGGATTATGTGACCCCTCAAGGCAAAAATCTCCATTTACTGTAAATATATCTAAAGGGAAAAAAAACACGTTGCGTTCTTTTATTCTTTTTTTTTTAATTGTTTTTTGTGTGTGTGTTCTTTTATTCTTAAAAGAGTTTTTCTAACTTTTGAAAAATACTTTAGGTAGGTGCTATTGTGGAAGTGAAGAATCTTGATGGTGTATATCAAGAAGCTGTCATCAACAAATTAACAGATGCAAGCTGGTATACTGTAGGTAAGGGAAGAAATTTCTCATAAGGTTTGTTTTCAATGACAAATTTAACTGATCTTAAAATAATATAAATAAAATAAAATTTCCTTGCTTCATTTCTTCCCCAATGTTACAGAGATTACCTAATTTATGTTTATTTCTTACCAAATCGTTTAAAAATTTATTTCATAAGTATATAATATGAATTTAAGTAATTTAATATAGATACTATACAATTGCATTTCTAGTATCTTTCACTTAAAATATTTATCATAGAGAAATTGTAGTGAACTGTAGTTCACAGTATTTGATTTTATGTATATGTCATCTATTTTTACTTATTGATGTTGCCAGTCTTCTCTCTTTTTTTAGCACAGATAATGCTGGACTGTTTATGTGCATTATCCTTATACCAAAACCAAACTCAACTGCCATTGAGTCAGTGCCGACTCATGGTGACCCGGGTATGGCAGGTTAGAACTGCCCTGTGAGTTTCTGAGACTGCTTATAGGAGTAGAAAGCATGATCGTTAGCCCGTTGAGCAGCAGATAGTTTAGAACTGGGAACCTTGCAGATTGTAGCCCAACATGTAACCACTGTGTTACCAGGGCTCCTTATTCCTACTACATATACTACTAAATACAGTACTAAGAAATGCATTGCTAGAAGGGAACTACAGTTTTTATAATATTTAATAAAAATTGCCTTTTAAAAAGGGTATGTACTTTTATTCCCATGAAAAATATTAAGTATACCTATTTTCCCAGTATTTGCCAAATTTTATGAGTTTTTAAATATTTTTTTATCAAACTACACAAATGAGTATCTTGGTTCTGTTTTAATATGCTCCATCCATTAGTGAGAGAATATCTTTTCACATGTTGTATGATAAGGAACATCATCTTATATGTATTTTTCTGTCATGAGCCATTCCTCCCATCTTCCTTCTTGGGGAAATTTATAGTTTTTCTTATTATTTGTAGGCTCTGAATAATTATATTCCGTATATAGTAACCCATGCTACTAATTTAAGTCACTGGCAGCACTTACTGCAGTGTTCCCTCTCTGGGAAGATCTCTTCCCAGCCATCTCAGACCCAACCTCTTTCATGACCACAGTCTGCAGACAGACACGCAGGCTGTATCCAGTCAGTGGTGGCCTTTTCTAGGTCCCCAGCTCATGAGCAGCTTGAGCCTTTGCAGCTCAAAATTACTGTGGGGTTAGAAGAGAAGACCGAAACATTAGCAATGGTATTTTTAAGAAATGCTTATGAGTTAAATGACAACCCAAAGTGAGCCAAATTGAACCTGAAACCTCCACTTTAGTAGAGAGCAGGTGTGTGGCAAGAAGTCTTGATTGACCAAACCCAAAGGGCAGACAGAGAAGTCTCTGGGATCGTGAATGCAGTTGGGAGTAGAGCCACAGAGGTGGCCATGCAAGGGAATTTGTTAAGCATTGTACTCCAATCACAAAAGCTGACGTTATTTACCTTTGCAATAACTGGACTCATAACAGTAACGAACAAGTCAAGCTGGCACAATAAACTATCTCAGTATATCTTTGACTATACAGATTTTTTTTTAGATTGGATAAATGAATGATCTGAAAACAAATTTCTTTAATCCTTCATTTTTGCATAATAGTGATTTTCACATAATGACCTGTCTTTGGAATCCAACTATTTTGATAAGTGAGGATTATGTCTAGTCAATTTTCATGTAGTCCTCTTTTCCTTTTTAGTTTTAGTTTTGAATCTTGTTTAAGAAAGCTTCCTTCTATTAGTATTACAAATCTATTCTCTAATAAGATTTTTTACGTAATTTTTTAAAAATATAAGGAACTTTTATTCTACCATCCGTGTTTTTTCTATTCTTTTTGAAAATTTTGTTATAGTTTGGTGAAAGCTTACAGAGAAAATTCATTTCCCACTTACCAATCCATACCCACTTTGATTCGTGATGTTACTTGTGATCTCTGCATTGTGATTGCACTCTCCCCATTTCCTTTGTGTTTACCATTCTCATGCGTCCTTCTTTTCCTATCCTTTCTTGCCTTTTAAACTTTAGCCCTGGGAAAATGCTACACTTTGATTTCATATGGTTTCACTGTGATTTCTTTGTGTTATTATTCACCTTATAAGCCTGTCTATTTGGCTGAAAGTTGAGTCATGGGGGTGAGTTCTCTTCCAAGCCTGAAGGGTATCTTTGGGCCATAGTTTCAGTGGTTCCACAGTCTTTTTTTTTTTTTTAAAGCCTGGGTATGTTTATTCAAAATTTTGACAAAAATATTTCCCAAAGTAACATAAATGTAAACACTTAAAAAGCTCTGGTGTTAAACTTCAAGAAAAATTTGTGTTCAGTCTGAAGTTCCTGTAAAAACAAGTTGATCCAGTTCTACAAATTGTAAATACAAGTCCCCTAATTGTATTTATTTCTATTTCCTGATACAGGGTACCAACTTAGGTTTCCTTTTTTGGCAGTATTTTCAATCATTTTTGGATGGTTTACATCTTTTAAGTTCTAAAATTTGTACTCATCCTGATATCATTAGAATGAAAAATAAGAATTTTCCTTGCAGAATTTCAATTAATATAGAAAGAATTGATAGCAAATCACCATTACAACACCACAGTAATTATCAAAATCACAGTAATTATCTACCCTTGGATACTAAAGTGAGTGCAAAAAATTTTAACAAATAAAAATTTGCATAGTCCTAAAATATCTCACTCCCAAATATGTAATAGTTACAATGGGAACGTAAGTATTTATAGTAGAGAATCCTAGTAGACGCCTCCTTAGCATATAAGGGGGAACTCGGTAAAGGCTATGCAGGAATTCTGTATTTTTTCTTTTTTAAATCATTGTATTGGGGGCTCTTACAGTTCTTATGACAATCCATATATCAGTGGTATTAAGCACATACATGTTACCATCATCATTTTCAAAACATTTTCTTTCTACTTGAGCCCTTGGTATTATTCTCTTTTGTCCCTTCCCCTACCCTCCTACCCTTGTGGAATTCTGTACTATTTTTGTAACTCTTCTATAGTCTACATTATATTCAAATTTTTAAATAATCTTTTAAACATACAGATACATAGATATATATGCCTATCTTTGCCTTTTTGTGTATGTATTTATACACAGACAAATTAAGTGTGTATGCACCAGTTTATTCACCCATTGATGGGTACTTGAGTTCTTTCATATTTTTCTTTTGTGCGTATTTCAGCAATGAACATGGTGTGCATATATCTTGCATTTATTTTGGATATGAGTAAGTAAAAAAGTATTGATACCTTGGTTCCAGTTAATGCATAAACAAATGTATTACAAAGAAAACCTGTTTCTGCAATCAACGGATGGCTGCAGACAACTTCTCACAGTCATACACTTAATCTATTTCAAGCATATTTCACGTATACTTTTTGTTTCATGGGAAAAATGATTTTGAGGTTAGGGCTAATAACAATTTTTTAACAAAACTCAAGTAATCATCTTGCCAAATAATTGAAGCTTTGCAACAACATAAAACAATAACTGTTGCCCCATATAAAACAATAACTTTTAAGATGGATAAAGCATTTTAAGGAAGATTAGGGAGACCTCAGAAATGAGCCACGAGTGGGAAGACTGCCAACCTCAATGAATGAAGAAGTGGTCTAATGTCCAGAAAGTGCTAAAAAGGAAACGGTAGAATTAACATCATTGTGATATTTCTTAAAGTTGGGACCTCACATTACTTTGCATTTTCATTGCAAAGTGAATATCTTGTCCTTAACGAGCTTTCAGCAGGAAGGGTGTCAAACAATTCATGAAGATCAGCACACTTGAAGAGCTGACTTTTCCATCAGTGTTTTAAACAAGATTAGGCCAAGAAAGGACACATTTATGAGTCATGGAGATAAGTTTTGAATTTACCAATATATGCCAGAAAGCAAAAATCCAATCAAAACAATAGTTTCTAAAGAGATCTTCTGGGCCAGTTAAATTCAGGGCAGAGAGTTCAGCCCAAAAGATTTTGGTTACTGTTTGGGGGGGAATTCAAAGGGATAATTGTGATTGCTTTTCTCAAGGAAACAGGATGGTCATGGGGGCTTACTAGGAAGACCTTTGAAGCAAATTGAAAGCTGCTTTGGTAAGAAAAAGGCCAGGAAAGTTGTATCATTTTTTTTTTTAATCACGATGTTCTATAAGAATTTCACAGGAATTCACCATCCGCAGTAGAGCACCAATATTGATCCTTCAGACTTCTTTTTGTTCCCCAAACTCAACATTGAAAGGGAATGATATAAACCTTAAAAGAATTAACTGCTGCTGTTTTGAGATGGTGTAATTCAAGACTAAAGAGTTCTTTGGGGGAATGGTTATTGAGATGGAAACACTCCTTCAGATGGATGATGTGTCAACAAAAAATAACTTGTTTGATACTTTTGGTTAAAAACTGTCTCTGATATTGGAGTGTAATACATTTTTATGTTCATAGTGTACTTGTAGGTTATCAGTTCCTTAGATATATCTGTCAATATCTAAAAGCAGGAAAACTTGTGTTTCCTTTATCATGTTGGGAATAGTTCATTAGTATTTAAATTATTTCCTTTGAAATGGTTACTTATTTTATTGTGTGTTCCTGTTTCAAGGACAATGAAAGTAAATTTAGAAATTTTTTTCTTGATAGAAACAATATTCTGGTTCTTTATATTTGAAGTGGTTCCTTAGAACATGTAAAATGTTAACTGAATTTATAATATTTTTAACAAAAGCTTTATATGTACTCAGGAAATTACCGTATACCATATACTCGAGTATAAGTCAACCCGAATATCAGCCGAGACACCTTATTTTACCACAAAAACTGCATAAAATGCTAAGAAACTCGGCTTATACATGAGTATATATGGTAAATTTTAATGTGTCATCTTAGTAATATTTGAAAATTTTTTCAGTAGCTTCCATTTTTACCCCTCTCATAGTTTTTGATGATGGAGATGAGAAGACGCTTAGACGGTCTTCCCTGTGCCTGAAAGGAGAGAGACATTTTGCTGAAAGTGAAGTAAGTAATCATTTATAAAATCATTGTGTCTGAACCTTGTAGCATTTTTCCCTCAGATAAGTAAATTGATAATCAGTAAAATTCATTAAAATGTTATCCCAGTATAATTTGATCAAATCTTATCTAATCTAAGCCTCATTAAGGCTTTATGCTTAATGTGTTTTAGCACTATTTCACCAAGAAAATATATTGGGTTAGTTTTGTTGCTCTTTTTTTTTTTTTTTAAATCATTTTATTGGGGCTCTTAAAGCACTTAAAACAATCCATACATCAATTGTATCCAGCATATTTGTACATATGTTGTCATTATTTTCTAAACATTTACTTTCTTTTGAGCCCTTAGTATCAGTCCCTCTTCTCTCCCACATGACCCCTTGATAAACTATAAATTATTATTATTTTCATATCTTAGAGCAACTGCTGTCTCCCTTCCCCCACAGTTTCTGTTTGTCCCCCTGGTTGTGGGGTGTGGTTATTGTGTCAATCATTGCGATCAATTGGTTTCCCTTCCTTCCCTCCTCTCTCTACCTTCCCTTTACTCTTCTGGTATCGTTACTCCTATTCCTGTTCCTGGATTCCGTGTGTTGTGAGCTCTTACCTCTTTATCTGTACCTATGCACATGCTCCAGTCTAGCTCGCAGTGAAAAGCAGGGCTGGGGTCATGATAGTGCTAGGTCAAGAAGCCTCAAAGAACCAGAACAGTATTGTGTTTTGTTGATGTTGTACTGGGCCCAGGTTGACTCATCCCTTCCTGGTGACCCTTCTGTGAGGGGATGCCCCATTGTCTATGCATGGGTATTGGGTCTCTGCTCTGACCCCCTTTGTTGTCAACAATATGGTTTTTGTCATTTGTTTTTGGATCTTCTGATGTGTGTTAACTGAACTCAGTCAACACCTCATGATCACACAGGCTGATATGCTTCTTCCATGTGGCCATGTGGGTTTATTGCTTCTCTGCTAGATGACTGCTTGTTTAACTTCAAGCCTTTACCACCCCAGGCGCTATATCTTTTGTTATTGTAATCATTTTATTGGGGGCTCATACAACTCTTATCACAATCCATATCTCCATCCATTGTGTCAAGTACATTTGTACATTTGTTGCCCTCATCATTCTCAAAACATTTGCTTTGAGAATGTTGGTATCATCTCATTTTTCTCCTCGCTCCCCGGTCCCCCCTCCTTTATGAACCCTTGATAATTCACAAATTATTATTTTGCCATATCTTACATTGTCCGGTGTCTCCCTTCACCCACTTTTCTGTTGTCCATCCCCCCCAGAGAGGAGGTTATATGTAGATCCTTGTAATCGGTTCCCCCTTTCTACCTCACCTTCCCTCCACCCTTCCAGTATATCCTCTCTCAACACTGGTCCTGAAGGGGTCATCTGCACTGGATTCCCTGTTTCCAGTTCCTATCTGTACCAGTGTGCATCCTCTGATCTAGCCAAATTTGTAAGGTAGAATTGGGATCATGATTGTGGGGGGATGGAAGCATTCAAGAACTAGAGGAAAATTGTATGTTTCATCGTTGCTATGCTGCACCCTCACTTGCTCATCTCCTCCCTGCAACGCTCCTGTAAGGGGATGTCCAGTTGCCTACAGATGGGCTTTGGGTTCCCAATCTGCACACTCCTTCATTCACAATGATAAGATTTTTTGTTCTTTGATGCTTGATCCCTTCAACACCTTGTGATCACTCGGACTAGTGTGCTTCTTCCATGTGGGCTTTGTTGCTTCTGAGTTAGATGGCTGCTTGTTTGTCTTCAAGCCTTAAAGACCCCAGATACTCCATCTTTTGATAGCCAGGCACCATCAGCTTTCTTTACCACATTTGCTTATGCACTCATTTTGTTTTCAGAGATTTCTCCAGGAGGGTGAACATCACAAAATTGCAAGTGTCTTTTACATAGACAATTTAGATTTTAAGTAATTATAGAAAAAAGATGTCTGGTATCTAGTCCATTTGAATCATGTTATAAAGGATCTGTGGCTACTACATGCAATCCTTAACTAATAATTATAATAGCTTACAGCATTGTAGTCTTCCTCAAAGCAGCCTTGCCTTGGCTACCCTTTCTGAAATAGTCCCTTCATTTACTTAAAATTTTATATGTATAAACACACACATTTTCAATGTGAATAGGGTGAAAGTTTATAGAGTAGATTATAGTCTTACAATGGTCAATTCATACACATTCTAATTCAGTTCATCCATGGCAATTTCCTCAATGTATCGTTGCTTATCTCATTTGATCCCTGTGTTTTCTGCTTCCATACTTTTCATTATTCTTCATCATCTTATGTTGACTTACTTTTCTTCATAACACTAATTATTCTCTGGTATCAAAATATGTGTGTGTACTTAAATTTTTATTATTTGCCTTACTTACTAGAATGTATATATAACAAGGACAGGGAATTCATTCACAACTAATTACTAGAATAGTGCCTGGCACAGAGTAGACTCTGAATAAATAATTGGATAAGTAAATGAAATATATATACTTGCCAAGGACTTTGCTATGCGATTTACATACATCATCTCACAACTTTATTATTAACCCCAGTTACAGAGATGTAAACTACTGGTCAGGGCTAAATCTCAAACCAAAAGTGTCTAGCACCAAAACTCTTATTAAAAGATGTTGAAAAAAAAAAAAAAGATGTTGTTAATCTACAAAGAATTGAGAGATCACAAAGTTGTGTTAATCAGTACTTAGCATTTCAGAATTTTAAAAATTAACTATATTTTAAGTGTTATATTCTCTAGCTCAATCTATAAAAATTAATGCGTAATGTTTCTAAATTGATTTTTCATTTTAAATCTTTTTATTGGGAGCTCTTACTGATATTGTAGCAATCCATAATTAAATTAGATCAAGCATAATTGTAGAAACTGATTTTTTTTCTAATCACCGTTTAGAACAGTATCATTTGGAATCTTTTGATGTTATTTATTAACCTATTAGGTATTATATTGATTTGAAGGTATTTTTCATACCTTAATGATTTAATTTTTATTTATCCTGATTCTATCATGTCCCTGTAGTTTTACATGATACCTATATATTTCCTGATAGTGGCTCATAATTTATTTCCTTGGTTCTTCCTCCTCCCTCTTCCTTTTTATTCAACAAAATTTTACTTATTTGGGAACTACAAAAAGTTTGCTTAAATCCATTTTCATTTTATTGTATTTTTCCCATGAACGTTTCAAAGCCTCATTTTTTTAAGGTAACTAGAAATGCTTGCTCTTTGATATGTCTGTCTGTGAGCTTTTCCACCAAAATAGTCTCGTTAGCTTTGATCCTTTTGCAATTCCTTTGTGTAATGTTATGCTATTTGTTACTTTCCATTTTTTGTTAGAAAATTTTAACATTTCTAGAGCACCAACCATATTTATTATGTGCTTCCATATGTTGTTTTCTTTTTTATTTCTTTTTTTCCAATCATTTTATTGGGGGCTCTTAAAGCTCTTATCACAGTCCATATATATACATCCATTGTGTCAAGCACTTCTGTACATATATTGCCTTCATCATTTTCAAAACATTTGTCTATTTGAGCCCTTGTGTATCAGCTCCTCATTTTTCCCCTCCTTTCTCCCCCCTCCGTCATAAACCCTTGATCATTTATAATTTTTTTTTCATGTCTTACCCTGACTGCTGTCTCCCTTCAGCCTTCTGCTTTGTTTTCTACACAAAGCTTTTCAGTAAATGGTTGTTGACTTAGATTTGAAATTTTGAAATAGGAAACTCCTACATCTTTGGGACAAGTGTAGTAAATTTGACTCTTTGCACTGTTGAAATAACAATTTTCTAAACATAATTCTTAGAATAACATCTGTTACTTGACTAGAATATGTGTCTATTATATAATCAGTTAATGAGTATGGGTCTTGGAGGTGCATGATTGTTTATGTTACATAAAAACATGGATTTTATTTATTACATTTGAAGAAATATTTAAAATATTGAATTTGTTTTTATTGGATTTTAAGTTGGAAAGGCTTAGAAGTTAACTATAGTGTAAATGCAGAAATAATATGAGTAAATAATTTAAATATGGATCAGGTTTACTCTGTGTTTCCAGGAATAGGTACACTTTTATTTATGTGTTGCTGGTTGTCGAATCAATTACAACTCATAAGCCATGTACAACAGAACAAAATAACTCTCTAGTCATGAGCCTTCCTCAAAATTGTCATTTAACTTGGACCCATCATTAAAGCCTTTGTGTCAATCCATCTCCTTGAAATTGTTCCTATTTTCATTGTCCTTTTCTTTACCAAATATGATATCCTTTTCCAAGGACTGTACTCCTGTTAACATGACCAAGGGAAGAGAGATGAAGTCTTATCAGCATTGCTTCTAAGGAGTATTCTTACTGTACTAATTTTATGACAGATTTGTCTGTTCTTCTGGCTCTTTGAATATTCTTCACCAACACCGTAATTCAAATGCATTAATTTTTCTGTTGTTTTCCTTATCTATGGTATAGCTTGTATTTAATGTTAGGCAATTCTGAATATCATGACTTGGGTGAGGTACGCTGCAAAGTCACATCTTTGATCTGCCCAATGCAATATAGTGTTTGATTTCTTGGACTGTTGCTTCTATGAGCATTGATTATGGATTCAAGTAGAAGGAAATTCTTGACCATTTAATTATTTTTTCATTTTATTATGACATTACTCATTGGACCAGTTGTGAGGGTTTTCGTTTTTGTTTTATATTGAGATGTAATAAGATCTTTGATTTTTTTTTTTTTCTTTCAGTAAGGGCTTCATGTCTTCTTCACTTTGACCAGCAAGGCTGCATTATCTGCCTATCCAGCTTGCTAATGAATCTTACTCCAATCCTGGTGCCACATTACTCTTCATATACTTCAGCTTCTGAAATTATTTAAGCAAAGGTTCTAAAATTGACAGTGAGGAATATGTAGTATTCTTGGTAGTGTTTGATGAGTTGAGATGTATCCGAGAGGAATTACAGAGAG